TTAAATATTTGTTCTTATTCTCTTCCTTAACATATCACCCACCCACTCCAACTCTTAGCAATTCAACACAAAAACTGTAAGATTTATGGGCTTCCAAATTAGAGTGAACAAGTAACAACATATCCCCTTTCTTATCTAGTATATAAAGTGACTTAAGTTTAAACACTTGTTTTCATGTGATTCAGAATCAGCCTAGTCCTTTACTGTAAACATACAAACAAACCAACCTGCCAGTGAGATTCATTACAGAAGAGGAAAAAAAATAAATTAAAAAAAATAATAATTTTCCACTTATGATAATTTCTGATGGAGAAATTTGTGTTCCACCTTTATTGAAGAGGTCTTGATTAAGGTAAAGGAGGAACAAAGAACTTGGGCTTTACATAAAACATAGAGATTTGGGCTATTCAACAATGAAGGGATAGTCCTCTGGTGCACATTTCTACATTCAACCTTGGGAAATTCCCAAATGCAACAAAGACAAGTCATTCCCAGTAAAATTTTCCTTGGTATAAATCATTACTTTTTAATGAATGGAAAAAAAAAACAAAAAACAAAACCCAGCAGCAAGAAAACAATTGCTGAAAAGTCTTTCTTAGTAAACATTTATGCACTAGGATTTAGTAGCTAAAAATCCTGATGACTTTTCTTACAGAGGGAGGAAGAAAACACAAAAGTGCCAAATGGAGATACAAAGAAATTCGGTCCTGATTATCTCTTTAGTTCAGGGCAGAGCTTGCATGAGAGAATGGTAAGGGACCTTCAGGAGGTCTGAGTCTGCTTCTGGAGGGCTTTGGACAAAGTTATCTTAAAATTCTGTGCTGAGCCTCAAGCAGTGTGGAACTGAAATCCACTGGTATGTTGAGCCTTTTTCATTCACACTGTGAAATCACACTGTGAAATCATGTGTCAGTCCTGACTTAAAATATGAAATTTCCACACTACAAAAACCAGCACACTGAGTATCCTTGCATTCAGTCAAAGAAGAAGGCCAAAGAATTAAATCAATAAATTTTTACTTAATGGTGTTGATAACACAGACAACCCATAACACAGTTTAAGGTTTGCTGGGAAGGCCATGGCATTCACTTTATTTTAAGGAAACTTCTTTCATTAACAATACAGATACTCCATTAGGGGACAAAAGTCATAATTTTTGTCTGTCTTGTACTTTGTAACAGATGGAATAAATGAATTTTTTTTCATATGTTGGCGTGGAATGTCATAGAGAAAGTGCTGTTAAATGATATATAACATGTACTGCTTTGGTTTGGTTTTTGGTTTGTTGGGTTTTTTTAACCTGTATTGTTCGGGTGAGTTTTTCTTTCAAACAGCCTTGTGGTGAAGAACATCCTAAAGGATTCTAGAGTTCAGGTTGGCAAACCCTCTTCAGGCTCTTGTTCTGAAGTATCTGTGGCTTAGGAGGACATTTAATTCACCATTACTAAGTCGTGGGTGGCGCAGCACAGGTGACAATGGCAATCAGAATGTGATATGTCAATACTTTTCAAGGTTAACACCTGAGCTCCTTGTGGAAACTTTATATATTATAAAAATAAATAAATAAATCTGTCTGAAGTGACAATGCAGGAAACTCAAACTTTGAAAATCTGCATTTAATCCTACTTTGAATTTTGTACTGGAACCAGGCTGGAACAACCTGGGAAATTAAAGCAGGAATTCGGAGTCTGGCATGTGGATAACAAAGTTAGGAAAAGACTTCAATCACTTAAAAGATGATATGAAATTCAATTCAAGAACTTCTTTATTACAGTGATCCTGTCTTTTCACCTGGGCCAACCACACTTACATTATCTCTAAATTTCTAATTAAACTGACCTCAAAGACTGCTGAAAATGAAACTTCTCCTACCAAAAAAAAAAGTCATAAACTACAGTACTAAACTTCTTTCTTCAGGTTTAACACTTTTTTTTTCTTTTTTTGCAACGGAGGCAATTGATCAATATTTGTACTTTACTCATCCTTTTCCTAATGGAGGATCACCTCCCTCTCCCTTTTTTCTTTATAAAGCTAAAAAAAAATTATCACACTTAGCTATTTCTGCTTTTCTCAGAGTAAGTCCACAGTACAAAAAATACAACCGAGTAACTGTCTTTCATGTCTTCTATACAGCATTCCTATTTTTACATACTGGTTTGAAATGATATCTCACTGCTGAACCATTATTAGCTTTATGAAAAATGGCCTGAAATCATGGTAATGCATTACTAAAAGAAATTGCTTCCAAGTGCATGTGATGTGACAGATCCTTAATTTTTTAATGAGGCACCAGGTGATACCTGTGGGACAATGTTGACTCTCTAAGACAGCAGCTTTGGCTGAGGAGGGTGTGTCTGTGTAATTCAGTGGTCAGTCCATTATTTTTGTGTGGGCAGGAGCTTTTCCCTTTCTGCCTGATTTAATGCAAGTGGACTGTAATGTAATGAAACTATTTACCTGTGAGACTGAGTTGTTGTAACTCTCATCACTTACCTGGCATTGTCCAGTGCTTCAGGCAAGACGCTGGACTGACAGACTTATGATCTGGTCACTTGGTATCAGGATCTGCAATACTTCTTCTCACTGAAAATATGGTCGTGGTTGATGAGTAAGGTGTTCCATAAAGTATCTCGGTCCTCTTTCCGTCTTATTACCAGGGTAACTGTAAGGTGAAATCCCTATCCTACATTCTTGTGTAGCTCAAGAGATAATGCCAACATATATTAGTAGCATCAGATAGCTTTGATAGCACAGTCGTGGCACAAGCTGTGTCAGGAATTCCAGACATTGCTACTGACCAGTAAGGACCTATAGTAGATATCACCATATATCACAGGGGAGCTACGATGCTCCATGATGTAAGACTGTTCTTAAAATCCATGTTGATTAAATTGTGTTTTCAGTTCATAAGAGGACAGCTGGGCATGACCATTAACAGAGGAAAAAAGTATGAGGACCTGAGGTGTGAAGCTCTGTAAAGCTCTGGATAGGACACTTGGTAGCTGACTTCCCCATTCTTGGAAGTGTTCCAGGCCAGGTTGGATGGGGCCCTGATCAACCTGATCTAATGGGTGGCATCCCTGCCCATGGCAGTGGGGTCAGAACCAGACGATCTACAAGGTCTGAGCTGGCTTCCTGCCAAGTCTCTAAAGACTCAGCGAAGAACCTTCTCTCCCAAAGAAGGGAGAAAAAAAAAAAAAGAACCAAAGCTACAGAAAAAATATATATTTTACATATAAAACAGATATATACAGTGTAAATGCTATGTACATATAACCCCAGAAACCCCAAGAAGTTCCCTAAAAGGGAAGAGGGGAAGGGAGAAGGGGAAAAGGACAGGAAAAAAAAGGGACAAAAAAGGACAGAAACAAAACAGGTATTCACAATCTAAAAACTTGGTAATCAGCAAAATAAAGAACTAGCAAAATCTCACCACTTCCCTTGAGAAAAACAGGATGGTCAGCCCCAGCCCAGCACTCTCCCTTGAAGCGTGGCAGACAACAGCAGTCGCTACAGGCCTCAACTTCAGATAAGCAAGACCAACGTAGGGATCTACTGTTCTCGAACCTCTCTGGAAAAGAAGAGTGAGGTCTCTCCAGTCAGCTTTATTTATACCTCAGTTTACGTAAAGGAATAACATGGAATACTTCCTCGGTCACTTCCCTAGTTCCTTGCTGGTTACAAGCTGGTCTCCGGGGAGGTCTAATACTTAAAACCATTACAAGGTCCCTTCCAACTCAAACCATCCTGTGATTCCATAGTTTTACATCAAGAATGCTGTTCTCATAAGATCTTAGTAAGAATAAGGCCAAGTAAAACAGAAACAATTTTAAGATCATTAACCTATGACCACAGACTGCGACAGGAAGAAAAGGGGAATTATGTTCTTGAAGAAGTGCTGTGCTGAGAATTGTAACCTTCTGATACTCTGCCTTGTAAAGCATTGTTGGTTTTATGCACAGAACAGCTAATGCTGCATACTTATCTGAACCATAAATGAGGTGGGGAAATGAAAAGCAGCACAAATTTAGTCTTTGTTGTATTTGTGTGGTATTGCCTCTCTGCCAACAGAGAGGATTTGGGACACCATTCACAACAAACACAACTAGGTTGCTTATAACTCCAGATAGGTAAAATCATAAACACTGTGCAGAATCATATAGACTTTCTCAAGTTTCTACTGAATCAAAAATCTCTGCATTATGCTCCTTTGGTCCACGTGGATATGTTCACATTGAGAAAGTAAATTATTTTTAATAACATCACCCTGTGGCTCAGTGATAGACTAAGATTATTCAGATCCTCTCTGAGCATCCTCAGTGCTCAGGAGATGATCCAAATTTGCTACATCTGCTGCCTCAGCTGGTCTTCCAGTTCTCATATTGTATTTCTGGACTGTCCAGAGCTCTTTGCTTTCATCTTCAGCTAACAACAGTGCATCCTGTGCAATCTTTTGTCCACGTCATTGATAAACTTAATAAATTCTGTAAGGACAAGTGCAAAAAAAGGCAGAGAGGTCACAAAAGACAGACAACACATTAACTAGAGTTATGCAACACTAACACTGTAATGTAACAAAGTTAATAAGGTATAAAACCTGACTACTCATTTTATAAGCAAACTCTTCCTGGTAATTAAACCAACAGAGCAGAGAGACCTAGCTATGAGAATCTGTGACCATGGATACACAGGTACTGGGAATGCCAGTCAGCTGTACACAGCTGCAAAAAGCATTTCTGAATGTGGGGTCTGATGCTCTTTAACAACAGGCTTGAGCTTGCTGGAGCCACAATAGTGAGCAAATCCATGCTAGCAGGAAAATCCTTTTTATATGCTCAGGTCCACTGCAGTAGAAGGCAGTCACTCACATACTGATTTGAAGAGTAAGAAATACAAAAAAGAAACCTGAACTATTCTAAAAGTACTGATACTGCTGTAATTTTTTACATCCCTTTGTCATAGACATGAGAAAGGACTCCGGAATGAATATGGAGGTGAACAGGAATGTGTTGTATGAATTTGTCTAATCATTCAGAGTCTATTCATAGAAGCATCCAACAGCTGCAAGAGGGAGTTGCAAAGATGCAGGTTAAGGATAGCTGGGATTGGCTGGAAAATCTTCTGAATTATTAGGGAATATCAGGATGAGTTAAATCTGTAGTAAAGATCGGATTAGACTGTGTGGGGATGTTTCTGTGCATTGTAATATGCTTACCATGCTTGATGCAATGCATTCAACGAGCGATAGATAAAGCATTAAAGACTGTTTTATTTGTAAACAAAGAAGGGAGAATTATGGAGGCGAACAGTGTCATGTCCCTCGGGCCCAGGACACTGGACATTGTTGCACTGCTTAGCAGAAAGCCGCGGGAACGGTAAGCAGGACAAAGACGACATGGAAGAAGAAGATACAAGACTACAAGAAGGACCTTGGTTGCTAAGAAATGTAGTTATTTGTATCTGTTAAAGCATATGCTGAATTATGTAGTTGGAGAGAGTAAGCATAAGTAGAAAATTACCAATTGTTCTGCTTGAATTACCTATTGTTCTACCTGGGATATATAAGCTTATGCATTGTTAAAATAAAGGTCTTTGTTTTACCACCAAAATGGAGTCTGTGCTTTTTAATGCCACAAATGAAGTCTGCTCTCACTGAGCACAGAGAGAAGGGCTGACAAATGACACACAGAATCATAGAATGGTTTGGGTTGGAAGGACCTCTAAAGATCATCTAGTTCCAATCCCCCTGCCATGACCAGAACACCTTCCACTAGACCAGGTTGCTCAGAGCCCCATCCTACCTTGCCTTAAACACTTCCAGGGATGTGGCATCCCCAGGTTCTCTGGGCAAACTATTCCAGTGCCTCACCATCCTCACAGTAAAGAATTTCTCCCTAATATCCAAATGAACTCCTACAAAGTTTTCTCTAGTGTGAATGGCAGACTAAACTTTGCTAATATTTGTTTCTGCACTGATGAGAATGGGAGAACTTTCTTACTAAAAGACCCAAGATTATGATTATTACTCTCTATCAGGCCAAGGAAATGAATTTGGAAATGCCAAGACCTGTTTATTACACCTATTATAAAACCCTTGGTATCAATTGAGTCCACCTAGGATGAATGTCAGTCATAAAAACAAATCTATTAGGGACATCTTTGTTAAACTGCCAAGGTAAGGCTGTTGAGACTCAAAAACAGGCTCATAATCCAAAATCTTTTCTTTGTTAATAGTCAATATTTTGATAAAAGGACATGTTTCGATATGAATTTAAGTAATGAATTTTCAGTTCTCATTTAATGTCCGAATAATGAAATGAATGTTGAATATAAACTGTGAAAGGAGATAAAGTTTCAATCTAGAAACCACCTCATATTTACTTACATTTACTAGATCACAAAGTAGTAGCACAGTCTGTATAAGCCATGTTGTCCTGTTCTTGTATCTAAGTTGGACTACTTGCTGAAGTCCCAAGAAAAAAGCAGATGGGTTCAGCTGGCAGAAACAAAACAGGATAAAAGCTTGTCAAAGGATTTCTATTGAGATTTTTATAATTGATTTCTAAGCAGTCTGAATCAATATCTCTCCTGTATCATTCATGGTCTCTTAATGAATTGCAAAATAATAACTGACATCATGTTTATAAACTTAAAGCATGGCTCAAAAGATAGCTATTTAAAAAATATACAGCTTAAGATACACTGCCAGTTATACCGGCATAAAGAATATCTCCATGTATACAAAACAAGGAAGTACTGGAATGTTTTTTTAGTTTTTTTTAATCATTTTAACAAAATGCATAATTAAATTGTGGTAGTTACGTCCAAAAAACACTATATTGTTTCAGAAAGGGCTTAGACAAATTCATGGAGGACTAGTTCATTTAAAAAGAAACCAAAACATATCTGTTCCAGGAATTTCCTAAATTTCAGGCTGCTAATTAGTGGGATCATAGTCAGGGGCAGTTGTTCCCTATTCCCTCATATCCACTACTCTTTCCTTAATTAGCCCCTATCTCTAGAGAGGGAGTGTCTTGGTAACATTTCTGGCATGGCCCACCATAAGAGATTATGTTTGGAATAAATATGTTTCAGTTGCAATTATCTGAGTCATTTACATATACAAAATATTTTGGAATCACAGATCCTGCAATCACAGAATTACATTTAAGTTCTGGTTTATAAGAAACACACCTTACCTACAGATCAATAATTTATAGTTATTGCAATTAAAATTGAGGCAATATAAACAAGCACAACAGTTATTACAGGCCAATTATGATGACACAATACTTTTAGTTAGTAACACAGTTAAGACTGATAAACAAAAGCTTTCAAGGATCTATGCGTACTTCTGTGGTGTTGTGCTCACCTGTACAGCATTCATCTCTGAAGGCTGTCACCTTCAGTCCCTCTCTAGAAGGATATTCTTTTTCATTCTTGCAGTGACTCACCCAGTAATTGGTTTCCAGTGCAACATTATACCTGTTTTTCTATTGCTTTCACCGAAATCTCTTTCACCTGCCTCACATATGTTTATTTATGTATTTGTTTATACCTTTAGTCACCAGTATCTGGCCACTGTGATTTGTGTGTAAAGCCCCAGTAATTGTGTTGTCCTGTGCCTGCCCTCACCTAAACCCTACATTTTTATTCTGGGGCCATAGGACAGTTCACCCTGTGAAGAGTTCCTGCTTTAGTACTTACCCATGAACAATAAGCATTACACCATATAATCATACAAAACTAAACCAAAGCTTAAAAAAATTTAGGTGACACTAGATGGCTAGACAATTCTCACAACTGAAAGAAGCTAAAATCAGCACAGGCTAAGCCAAGTCCAGACAAGCTGTGCAATCTTGGTTTCCTCTATTTCTATTTTCTTCCCAGTAAGACTGAAATGACTTTGTTTGGATCAATACAGATATCTTGCTTATGCAGTTGGACTGCTTATGCTGTTCAACAATGCATGCCTTTAGAATTGTTTTCATTGTTTTCCAATGAAGCACATTTAAATGGCAGCAGAGATTCTCCTATTATTTACATGACATAAATCAGAAGCAGTTCCACTATGTCTACTGTGAGCAAGTGCTGAAGAATGTGACCACATCATTTAAAATTAATATGTTCAGTTTATGGTCTGTTTGTATTCCTTGCTTTCTGTTCACGAAACATTTCTTTGTTCTTTAGGATATGAGCCATATCTCTCAAGGGTAATGCTTTATTCTCTAAACCAGTAAACATATTGACCACTGCTAAGAATCTTGTAAGACAATTTGCGCTACATTAGCAGGCCATGAATCTCCCCAAGAATCCATATTACAAAACGGAAGTTTAAGCAAGAACATGGCATTATATTGATTTCTTGGGAAGTAATATACACAAATGTGTGTTTACACACGAAGATACATGTGCACATGCAAACACAAACATAGAGCTGAATAAACAGCATGTATTGCACAAAACAGATCAATGGTTTCTCGGCTGAGTTATCTTTCTCTTAGATTCCACTTGTATGAAATATTGATTCTTAATCAATTCAAAAAGAATATGGGCCTCAGATTAGTGTTACAATCCATAAGTATCTTTTTTTTCTTCTCAGTTGATTGTCATCTTTGATTTTTCCAAATTTTCCTGCAGCTTTTAATATTTTTGTGATCTTTTTTCCTTCAGAGGATGCTACCTTGCCATTTGCTGACTGTTCTCTAACTGAGTTACAAGGATTTTCATGGGATTCATTTGTTCTTGCAGCAAGTTCAGTACATAGACACTCAGAACAAGCTGATACAGGCAGTCATCAATAACACACCGAGGTAAAAAGAATCAAGATAGATGATTTGAAAGGATTGGCTGTTCTTCTTATGCAATATTAACGGCATTTTGGACCTGTATTAAGACAGAGGACTTTTTAGCACTTTAAGTCCAATATTAGCCTTGAGCTGTGTGATTAACACCAAGAAAGAATTGACTCGACATGGGAGAACTTTTATTTTAGTTTTGCAAGTATTAAAAAAATCTTTCTTAGTTTTGAAAAGACTGTCCACTATGGACAATTTTGGAGTGCATTGTGTACAAGATGTTTTAGAGAATGTATTTTTTACAAAATTTCTCTCTCTCCTCTTTCCATGCTTTTGTGAAAACAAACAAACAAACACACAAACAAGGAAAGTTCCCCCCAAATCCCACAATGAAGCCACCTACTTTGAAATTTTTTAAAAAAGTGGAAGGCAAAGCATTTGGAATGTGTGAAGCTGGAGGATTTTAGATAATGATTCACTCTGAAGGATAGATCACTTAAAATTTCTGCATGACTATGGCCTTCAGTTGATCTGAGGTATGCCTCAAATGAAATTAAAAGTCTAAGGTTATGTAAATGTTGTTCAAATTTTCTTTCTTTGTAGGTTATTCCTTGGGTCGTGGCCATGCATGAAACCTGGGAAAAAGTGATGATTGGACTTGCTAATATTTTACTTACTCAAATGTACTCACAAAGCAGTCCTTCAACTAGAAGCAATTACAGTATTTCCTTTAAAATAAAAAATACAAAAAAAAAACCCAAAAAACCCCCAAAGAAACAACAACAAAACCAGAAACAAAAATAGAGAAAAAAAGGAACGATTCTGTAATTGTTATTAAATTCTTACAAATTTTATAAAATAATATTTTTTCCTGCCAAAATCCTCAGAGTTTTTGCTGGGTGTCTGAGAAACCCACTAGTTCCTTCCCTGTTACTTTGTTTTGAATTGACTGCTTAAAGGGTAAATGATACTTGAAGCAGAATACTACAGCTTTCACATTGAATTTCTGGTACAACTAATCTTTGTGTTAGACTGCTCAAGGGCAAGAGGTGAGAGCAGGTTCCAATGATCTTCTTCCCCAAAATGCAATACCATCCTCTGATCTCTGCTTTATTTTTTTTTTTTCTTTTTCTACAGTTTCTGCTAGTAGTAACTAAATAAAAGTTGGTAATTTTGTATTGCAAATTATAGGCAATGAAATCTGGCTGTGGTACATAATAAAGCTAAGCTTTCTTTCCCAAAATCTTTGATTTTTAACTTTGGAAGTCACATTCACAAAACATTTAGGTTCCCTTCAAAATATTATCA